TACCCGTGTCCCCGCAGCCCTCCCCGTGACACCCGTGTCCCTGTGCCCCCCCCGCACGGTGTCCCTGCAGCCGGCTCCCCGGTTCCTGCGTCCCCGCAGCCCCCTCCCCCGTGGTCCCCATCCCTGCGTCCTGCTAATGGGTGTCCCCTCATCCCCATCCCCTGCCCCGAGCTGTCCCCACGCTCCCCTCCATCGCGCCCGCATCCTTCTGCCGTGGTGTCTGCATGGCAGCCTGCGTGAGGAGCAGCAGCTGGAGGTGTTTGTGAGGGGGAAAATCCACCTCCCTGCTGCTGCTGCTGACCCTCTCCAGGAGGGTTTGGCTCGGAGGGCACAGACCAGGTCCAGGGAGCAGTGGTGTCACCTGCAGAACCAGGCCAGGCTGTTTGAAAAAAGCTCAGCTGTTGCGTTCTCCTGGGGGGTGTTGCATCCTCCTGAGGGACCAGATCCTCTTGCCCCGCTCTGCAGACAGACCCTGATTCCTCCTACTGCCATCAGCTGGAGTTTCAGCCCCGGTTCCATGGGCAGAGCTGGCCCAAAGCACTTGCTCACCCTCACGGTGGGTTGCATTTGCCTGTTGGATGCTGCGGTGCCTCAGGCAGGAGGAGATTTAGGAGAGTTACAGGAATGTTTCTGGCTGGTGGGAGAGGGATCTCCAGGCTCATGGGAGTACATGGCCCCCCGAGGAGACTTTGCTGCCCCCTGAAACAGCAGAAACTCAGATGCACCCACATAATTTGTCAAATCAACCAAGATTTGATTTCCTGATGGTGGAGATGCCATATATTATTAATCGGTCGGCAGACCGTGGGGCTTCACCTCTTCATTTGAGAGACTAGAAAGGCAGTGGCACCCCCCCACCCCCTTTTTTTTTTCTTAATCTCAAACAGATTTTCCTTAAGTTATTTCTGTTAGAAGAGGAGTATTAGAATAGGTAATAGCAACAGGTTGGAGGATCTTCAGTGGCGTTAAAAAGGCTGATTTTCATAAGCTCATAACAAAAGACAAGTATAGACTATTATGTTTTCCACTTTTGAAACTTTTTCTGGTATGAAGCAATCGTAATTTTCTGACCCAGAGGGATTCTCTGACCACTTGAGGTAGGGCAATGCTGCTCCATTTCAAAGTGAAAAAACAAACTGTCTATATTTTAGGCTCGTGCCCTGTGTTTCTTGCCTTCCCCACAGGGAAAGCAGTCACGGGAATCCTGTGGGAGGATGGAGATGGTTGGCAGAGTTTGAATTAGGGACTTCTGGAGAAGCACCGCTAGTCTGGGGATCTGTGATTGGGAGGAAAAGATGTGTCCCAGTATAGCCCTGGGAAAAGCTGGCTGGCTGAGTGCTGGGGAGTTAGTCCTTCTCTGGACACTGCTGTCCCTGGGATGTCTCCAGGAGGACTGGGGAGAAAGGAGGTTTCTTCACTATTTTTTTTAGAACTGTCCTGCAGGTCAACCAAGATTTGATTTCCTGATGGTGTAGATGCCATATATTATGAATCATTAGAAGACTAAATTTATCACTATATTTGGAGGGAAGTGGAGGACTGCAGGCTTTATATCACCAAAATCCTCCTTACGTCCTCAAAGCTGAGCTTGTTACAGAAGTTAAGATGTGCCCGGGCATCTGCAGTTCCCTGCTGGGCTGCAGCTCCATGGGAATAGCTTGTGTGGCCATAGGAGCAGGGTGGGCACGTTGCCATCCCTCCGTCCTGGAGCCAACCCCTCAGCTTCCTCAGTAGCACTGAATTCAGGGACTGAGTGAGGTCCCAATGGTGTTTTATAGCGATACAGTCTATTTGCTGTGACACAAACCCTCCCTGTTGCTCAGGAAATGGACTGAGCCGCCTCCTCGGCTGGGTGAGGAGAGAAGGGGCTGCTCAGCCAGTGTCCTCCTCTGTCACTGCATGGAAACACACACAAGACATTTCATGTGAAGGTGGGAAGGCAAGAAGGTACCAGGATTGTTGTCACTCAAGCCAGGACACCGGTTTATCTCCAGATGTAGATCTGCATCTCTTTGTGCCTCAGTTTCTTCACCTGCACAAAGGGACAGATGATACCGAGCACCTGGGAGAAGGTCTTTGGGACCTGCAGGATCTATAGATTTGGGATGGTTATGCCAGTTGTCCCCGACAACTTGTTTCAGTGTTAGGAATTGTCCCAAAGGAGCTTGGGGATGAACCTACTGTTTCCAATCCCCCATCACCTTGGGATTTTAGAAAGTTTATTTGCAGCTCACCATACCTGCAGTTTCAGAAGGAGGTTTCATTTTGATTTGCCACTCCTTTCTCAAGGTTTAATCAGAAAGATCGATTCTTTCTTTAACTGGCATATATTTAAGGTGGGTTTCTTAATTTCTTCCTCCTTTAACTGCTGCCATCCACAGGCCAACCCTTTTGTTTAAATTAGATATTGTTATTGACCTTCTTCAGTCTCGTTTCGTATTTGTCCTCTGCTAGAAAATCAAAGCCTCTTTATTCACGACTCGGTTAGTACTGACTCCGCAGATGGTACATGTGGCCCTTACAGCACTTTTCTCTGGCAAGAACTTGTATTTTAAAGAGGAGAAGATCAGATTTCAGTGTGTTATGTGGTGGGAAAATGCAGCTTTACAATGCTGTATGGAATTAAGAAATTACAGGCCATTGTTTTGCCCTCTCTCTTTGGAACTGGGACTGTATTTCATGCGACACAGGTCCCTGCCACTCCACAAACGGCCGTGTGGCCCCTGGTGCCACGAGAGCATCTCCTGTGGGCCGGGCCGGGTGTCCCCCAGGGTAAATCACTGCCACCCCAGTGACTTGAGTGGGACAAAGCGCCCAGAGGAACTCCCTCCTCGCGAGGGGTTCACCTTGTGTCCCCTCATCCCTTGTGCTTTGACTTGTCACACTCTTCTCTTGCCAGCAAGTGTGCTCCTGCCCAGCCCCTTCACTGCCCTTGGAGGGTCTGTGCACTTTCTGTGCTGTCCCTCTGGCCCCGGGAGATGTGGCTGGCCCTGTCCCCATGGCTCCATCAGTTGTCACCAGCTGGGGATGGATGCCACATGTTCACACTGCTCTCCTCTCTGTTGCAGGGTTCCCCGCTGAAGGGTGAGACATGTGGTAGGAGCCAACGCTTCCCACCGAAGAGTGAGACTCCGTCGTGCCCCTCAGCCCAGGGCACCGCAGGAGAGACAGGACATGTGCCGTGCTGGCTGCCTCCTCTCGGGACTCCTCCTCATCCTCAGTGTGACCAACACGGACGCCTTCTCCCGGGCAGGGTAACCCCCCTTTTTAGTCTGCTTTTTGTCTGTGGGTGTTCATCTGGACGTCACGGCAAAGCCCATCCTCTCTGGGTGATGAAAAGCCCGGCTCAGCCATCAGCTACACGTGCGTGGGCAGCTCCCTGGGCTGGTGAGGAGGTGGGAAGAGGCTCAGCCGAGCCCTCCTGGGGCAGCTGGGGCTCAGCAGCCCTTCATGGGGTTTGTTTGCTTTGTCACTGAAGCGAAAAAAACCTCTCAGAGAAAATGCCCTGGCTCCATTTCGCTCCATGCAGGGGACACAAAGACACTCTGGGCTTTTTTGTCTGGGAGAGTCAAAAGCTAAACAGGCTTCGAACTGTTTGTTAATTATTATTGTCTCTTTCAAGCACATCCTTGCACAAAAATATGGGTGCAGTCTTGCTATTGTGCCAATCAAGCTGTGCAGATGAGCCATCAAAGGAGGATGCAGCCTCCCAGCTCTGAAAGGATGCACCGACTGGGGGACACAGGCATGGAAAAGTCCTCATGGATTGTCACCTGCCATGTCCTGTGCTCCCTGGGCTGCTGCAGTGGCTGTGGTCATGGTCCTGCAAGCCCAGGAGTGGGAAATCCAGCAATTCTCCTTCCTTTTCCAGGAAATGGGTCCAACATGGCACCCCAGATCCCAGCAGAGCCTGGGCAGGCACAGCTCAGCTCCTGCTGGGGCAGAGCAAGCCCAGAGCTCAGTGCCCCAGTTTCTTCCCAGGCCAAAAGGAGCTTGAGCTCAAGGCCCACCCTCCCCCAGAAACAGCTCACATTTTCTACAAAGTTTGTTTTTACATTGAAATACTCTCCTCTAGCGTTAAACCTTTAGCATTCTGGTCATGACTGGTCATGACCACAGGCTGAATTCCTCACTCGCACGCACAGGCTGCAGCTATAGCTTCATTCTAAATGTTGCAAAGCAAACAATTGCCATTTAAAAAATTGCATCTTCTATAGCATCAATCAGTGAGGCTGAGAGGAGTTTTCTGGAGTTAATGGAAGCCATCTGATGACCATGCTAATTCCCAGGCTTTTTATTCTAGTTTCTAATTGGGCTGGGAGGCTGAGACAAGTAGGCGAGTTCCTCAGCGGGACTGACCTGCTTGGGCTGGAAAATGTTGAAAAAACCCAAAAGAATATTTAACCCAGACCACTTTGGCTGTTAACCTTGGGAAAGTTTTTGACTGGATCGCAGTTATCTTAGGAAGACTGGAGGGCAACTTTCCTCTGGCCCTTACCTTTTTGTGGCGAGCCTGACCCTTCCTATGAAATCATTCATTTCTTGGTGACCACAGGGGCATCTGTTTCAGGAGAGCAAAAGTCTCAGAAAGGAAAAATCCATCCAGAAAGTGAGTGGTTTTAAGGGAGGAATGGAAGGAGAACTGTTGTGAGTAAATCCCCCCTAAATCTGGGCCCCGGCTGCTCTCCCAGGACCGGGGTGAGTGTACGAGGAGGCATCAGCGCCTTCGCGCAGGGGCTGTGGAGGAAGAGCCCGTCCAACCCCCAGGGCTCAAGCCGTGTGTCGCTGCCCTGAAATGACATGAAGTAGCCTCCCAGGTCACTCAGGCAATTAGCCACTACCATTTTAATAGCCTTCTGTAGAGAGGGACTGGCGAGCCACATCCTGAGCTGGTGTCAATCAGTGGAGCCCCTTTGCCCTGAGGTGGCAGGTTGGTTTTTTAGCCGGTCTCTGACCCTCTCCTCTCTCCGCAGCCGCAGAGTCTGTGCCGCGGCACCGCAGACCCAGGAGGCCACCTACACAGAGTCCCACGTCCAGCCCGTCTACCAGCCCTACCTCACCACCTGCCAGGGCCACCGCCTCTGCAGCACCTACAGGTGAGGGCACCTGCCTGCCCCCCGGACCTGGTCCTCACGGGGAGCAGGATCCACCCCAGTGAGGCACCCACCCCTGTGGGGCTGTGGAAAAGGGGAGTCCTGCCTTGATCCATGGGGAAGGGGCTCCTAGGCCTGACCCACTGGCATGGGAGTGGGATGGGGAGCTTGGGGTGGGTTCTTGGGGGTTCTCAGCCCCGTCTTTGTGTTGCAGGACCATCTACAGGGTTGCCTACCGGCAGGCGTACAGGCAGCTGCCCCAGCCCACGGCCTCCTGCTGTCCCGGCTGGAGCAGGGCTAATGGCCACACGCTCAGCTGCAACAGAGGTAAGAGGCTGCTGGGTCACTCCTCTGCCAGGGCTCGCCCTTCACCCAAACCCCATGGGGCAGGTACCTCAGGGCCCTGGATGAGGTGCCAGCAGCCAGTTCTCTCATTTACCAGCACTTCGTCCCTCGGGCGAGTCCTCCCTGTAGAAAAGCATTTACATTTTCAGCGTCACAACCAAATGCGGTTCAATTTCTGATTAATTCCCAGCCTTTCCCTGCTGCCTCGCAGGCCCTTTTTCCTTTGGGATCGCTTATTAACTTTGTAGTTACCAGAGGATGAATAAGACGAGTAAGTCCTTTCCATATAAATCAGCAGTCATGGAAGAGAAATGCTTTCAGGAGGCAATCGTGATGTACAGCAGAAAACAAATGCAAAATAGCAGCAGCCAGGCCATCCCCAGATGAGCTCAGAGCACAACACCAAGGGCTTCCCAGGGGTCTGCTGCTGTCTGTTGTCCCTCCTCCCTGCTGGCTGTGCTGGCTGCAGGCACCAACACCTCTTTCCAGCAGCAGACTCAAGGTCCTGCTCATCCCACCCGTCCTGTGCCCTGGGGGTCAGCTCAACCCCATCACTCCAGGCTGGGGTAGAGCATCCCGGCTCCGGGCTGGTGCTGGGGTGTGTTTTGTGTTGTGTGTGTGCACTGTGTGGCAGGGGAGGGAGCTGGGGACCCCCAGAGCTGCCCGGTGATGCTGTGCTTGTGTTTGGTTCCACAGCTCTCTGCTGGGTGCCGTGCCAGAACGGCGGGACCTGCTCCTTCCCTGGTAGATGCACCTGCCTGCCCGGCTGGACGGGGCGAGCCTGCCAGACAGGTACCAGCCACACTGCTCCCCTCCAGGCTCCCCGAGCTTCTCCAGGGAGCCGTGGGGCTGCCATGGGGCTCTGGAGATCCTCTGCCCACAGACCTACCCCTTGGTGGGGGCCGGGCACCAGCATTGTGGCTCCTCCCCAAGACTTGGCACATGCCTGGTGCTGCTCAGAGCAGTGTGTTCCTCCTCCACATGGACACACACATGCACACTGACGTGTGCTGCTCCAGGGCAGTGATGCCTGATGATCTGGCCAGGAAAGGATGGGAAGATTGGCTCCCAGGGGAGCCCTGACCTCCCTTTGGCTATTTCAGTGCTCCCAGCCCTCATCTGCAGCCCTGGCATCCACATTTTCTCTCTGCTGCTGCTCCACGCTGGGTCGGTGTGAGCAGAGGGTACATTTTGCTGTGTCTCTGCAGCCAGCAGAAGGTTTTCCACAGAGCAGCCATTACCCTCGTGGAGTCAGCCCGAGACTGTGTATCTCCCAAGCTTTGTAAACTCTTGCTGTAAACTAAGACGCCCATTTACTGCAGAAGCTCAAGCTGGAAACTGAAAATATCCGGGGGTGGAGGGAAAGCCTTGGCAATCTCCAGACACCGAGCTCCTCTCCAACATGAGAGCAGCCTGATGCTCCTCACCAGCGTGCAGGGAGATCAGGCAGCGTGGAGAGCAGCCCCTGCCACCGCCTTCCCCAGCTTTTTGCCCTCCTGTAAGGCAGAGGAGGAGCGTGTGGCATTGACCCACGCTGGGCCAGGCAGGGCTGAGCACATCGCTGACAGCTCCGGCTCCAGCGTGGGGCTGGTGTTGGGGGGGGGCTGGGGGGGGGA